AGAAGAAGAAGAAGAAGAAGAAGAAGAAGAAGAAGAAGAAGAAGAAGAAGAAGAAGAAGGGGAAGCCTGCTCTCACCCCATCAAAAATACCCACTCCCTTCTCTGGAGGCATCTGAACCCTCCCCAGAGTTGTTCTATGAACCTACGGCCATGACTATAAAACTGTTCTTCAGTTTGCTTTTCCTAAATATACATCATCAAAGATTTCTAAAGAGGGAGCGATGTCCACTCAGCATACATGTACACAGCATGCTGTTGCTGTGTATCATGTGATTAGACAGACAGACAAGGCCCCACCCTTATAGAAACAAAGCTTAGGCCAGCAAGAGGGTTCAGCAAGTGTACAAGCCTAATGACCTGAGTTGAACCCCAGAAACCAATGGAAGGAGAGAAGTGCTCCCCAAAAGTCGTCCTCTGAGGTCCACACACAAATGATGGCATATGCATGCCCCACAACAGTGTCATACACATACAGTAATTATTACTTAAATAAATAGTGCCCCAAACAATATCACATACATACAATAATAATTACTTATTACTTAAATATTCTTTTTTTTAAAAAAAGGAGTTTAGAACATCAAACAAAGGATGGGGTGAGTAACAAATGCTGTGTAGGAAGCTGGGTAGGTAGGTAGGTGAACAAGGAATGGTAGGTAGCCTTGCCAGCTGGGGACCGGGTAAAGAAGCCTAATCTAAAGGAAAGCCCTTTCATTCCTGTGCTAAGCAAACACTGCAGTGAGATTATTCTAGGGGCCTAGGTCACCAGTGTGAACCCCAGGTCAAAGAGTATGATAAGCATCTCCCAACACAGGATGTTATTATGGTTCAAATGTGTTCCCTAAAAGCACACATTGAAAACATAATCTCCAATGTGACGGTGTAGAGGTGGCTCTCCTGGGAGCTATTTAGGTCATGAAAGTCCCACATATGAATGGATTTATGCTGAATATAAAAGTCACTGAGGGGCCAATGAGATGGCTTAGCTGGTAAAGGCGTCTGCCACCAAGCCTGCAAACATGAGTTCAATCTTAGCTCTCTCGTGATGAAAATCAACTTTTGAAAGTTGTCTTCTGACCTCCACACATGCATGCACCCACCCCCATACACAAGTGTGTGTGTGTGTGTGTGTGTGTGTGTGTGTGTGTGTAATTTTAAGAAGCAGGGCTTTGAGGCTTCAAGTACTAGCTTTCCTACTTTCCCCATGGGAAGGTGTAGCAGGAAGGCCCTTGACATAGATTGGCACCTTGACTTTGAACTTCCCAGCCTTCAGGGCCATGAGCCAACAAATTTCTGCTTGTTATAAATTATCCAGTCTATAGCAGTCTGTAGCAACACCACACACAGACTAAGATCACAGGGGAGGAGCTTGCCATGGGCTACATCTCCCCAAAGCAAAACACTCCTCACCCCAGGGACATTTAAGGGGTATGACTCAAGACAAGGAGTGGGGGGGGGGTGCTTCTGGGAGAAATCTCAGTGACTGTCTGTAGTGAGAAAGAGGGTTGATAGGAAATCACTAGCTATCTGGTAGACCCTGTGCTAAGAGGCAAGAGCAAGACCCTGATGGAGGTTGAGAGGAAAGATGAGAATGGTCATCTGAGCGTGTCTGCAGTGGGCATGGCCTAATCTTGGGGCCCACTGCTTGGACTGAGGCAGGCTACCCAGTTCCCAGCACACTGAGAGCAAACCTTGGTTGAGTCTCAGGAGTTAAAATTTCAAAACCTTTGGCCCAGAGCTGGATAGTAAGGTATCTAAGGCAGAGGAAAGTGGCAGTCTAGGTCACTGTTACTAAGCCTAGAGATAAAAGGAGATGCAAGGTGCATGAGACTGTCAGGGCCACTTATAGTATCCTGGAGTCTGTCCCTATGTCCCTAGCCCCACTGAACCCCAGAGACAAACATCTGGCTTTGAGACAGCCCAAGGGCTTGCCAATGTGGAAAGAGACACCCATCCATGTGAGGGCCAAGTCTCTCCAACTGAGATCTAGACAGCAGGAGAAGGGTTGCTGGGCAGTACTGTCTCAGACCAAAGGACGTAAGACTCCTCCAGCCTGGGCCAAGTCATATGAAGGGATCTCTAGGGAGATACTAAGGACAGAAAAGCTACAGAAAGCATCCAGAGAGGCCCAGATACTCTGTGGGCTTCAGGGCAGGGCACCAAAGACATTTGGGGAACATAAGAAAGAAGGGAGTCAGGCACGGTGTGGCCTGTGCCTATAATCCCTGCATTTGGGATTTGCTGGCAGGGATATCAGAAGTTCACAGTCACCCTCAGATATATAGCAAGTCCAAAGGCAGTCCAGGCTACATAAAGACTACTTGTTAAAAAAGAAAAAGTCTTGGGAGGCCGCTCGGTGGGTAAAATGCCTGCTGTGCAAGCATGAGGACTTGAGTTCTATCCACAGCGCCCACATAAAAAGCCCACATACACAATTAGTCGTGTATACATATGGTACTAGTGCTAGGGACGGGAGGATTCCTGGAGCTCACTGGACAGACAGACAGCCTAGTGGAATGGGTGAGTCCCAGGTCCAGGTGAGACACCCTGTCTCAAAACACAAGATGGATAGCTCCTGAGAAATGACTGCTAACTTCCATGTGCCTGCACACACACGTGCACCCACACAAAAAGAAAAGAAAGAAGCGCATGCTGAGGCGAGCCTGGAAGTACAGGCTCAGGCAGCTGAACGACTGCATGAGGAAGTATGTCCCAGGCCATCAGGGACTGTCTCAGGGGACACTTGGCACAGGAGGACCACTTATTATCTGATCCTCTGTGTGGTTAGAGGGAACCCTGCTCTTCTCTGGGCCTCAGTTTACTCTTTCTTCCTTTTTTAAAAAAATTGATTTATTTTATTTTCTGTATTTGCTTGCATGTATATCTGTGTACCACATGCATGCTTGGTGCCCCAAAGGCCAGAGAGGATGTCTGGAACACTAATACATCAAGGCTTCAGCATCCGACCTGTCTGACAGATTAGGAAACTGAGTCCCTCACAGGACTGAGACCAGGACAAATCCCCCAGGAGGCAATGCTCCCTCTCTTCCTCTGACTCCTCAGAGGGTTGTCCAGAGCTAATTCTGAGTACTTAGCAGGCCAACTATGCCAACTAAATAGAAAATGGATATCCCCAGGGAGCCAGGACCCAGAAAGACACAGGTACTCGGGCAGATGCAGGAATGGACACCAGTGGGTTAGCAGGGCTTGGAAACAGGGACAGTCATAAGGTGGACCACAGTGGATTATGCTCCACTTTCCCCCCTCTGTGTGGGCCCAGTCCAGTCCTTGAGACTATCAGTCAGTGGTAAGTTCAGAAGTGAGTAGGAGTTCAAGGCATATATGGGGAAATGTGGGGAGAGCAGGTGACAGGCCAGCACAGACGTCACTAAGAGACCATCATGCCAGAAGGGCCAACAAAACTGCCCTTGACTCCCCTAAGAAGTCCATCCCTGGGAGGAAAGGATGCCAGTGACCACTGAGCTGGCCAAAAGACCCAGATGCCTCTGCTCCTCCTTGGTCACCAAACTGCTTCCCCAAACGGCAGGCAGACCTTTGCTATGCTCAACAGAGCCAGCTCCCAGTAAAGCCAAATGCTGCTCTGGCCTTGAGGGCCAAGACTGCCAAAAGGAAGGAGTTTCTCACTCCCTGCTACTCTCTGGAATCTTTCTTCTCTCTCCTCCACTGACCTCTGCCACCCTCACTTGGGGGATAAGAGGCGGGCAACTCTCTAGAACATTCCATCTCCTTGCCCAACACTTGGACACACAAACTGTCCTTGGCTCTTCTTTGTCCATTCTTTCCTGCCCCTCCCTAGAGTGGGTAGGGGGTGGGATTAAAGCAAGGCTCCTCTTTGCTGGGCCATGACCTACTTGGCCAACCACCTAAAACCAAGAGCCTAGGCTGCAGTGCCCTCCACATCCAGCTGCAGACCCTGTGGTCGCTCCAAATGCATGCCTGGAATGAACGAGTGTTACTTGTGTGTATGAATGTACTTCACATGGTGGCTGGGCTGGGCCAACTGCAGTAACTTGAAGACTCCATTAACCCACAGAAACTTCCATTGGTGGGAGACGCCAGAAGAGACTCCCACACACCCACACAACCTATTCGTTTTTAAAAGATGAATAACATATCTCCATGAAAGGCTTGTCCGTGGAGAAGTCAGGCAACAGAATGATCACCTATAGATCCTCACCCTACTTACAAGCAATAAGACATAGCACCTCTATATATGCACAAACCCGTGTGATTGCTGCAATGCTCTGTGTATGCACACACACTTGTGATTGCTGCAATGTTTGGCATTCCCTGTCTTTTCCCTGCAGCTTTGCATTTCATATGTGTGGGGTTTTCACCCTATTTTGGAAAAAGGAAGTTCAGCCACTGGAGAATGCTCCACCTTATCAGACCTGACCCCATTCCCTGAACCAAGTGGACTAGGAAGAGGTTTCTACTCTCTTTCTTAGCTTTCTCTTGTTTGAACTGCTAAACAAGTATGTGTTGTTTTGGCAAAAATAATTCAGTTTCAAAAGCAAGACAGGGGGCCGGGGGGTTGGTGGCGCACGCCTTTAGTCCCAGCACTCGGGAGGCAGAGGCAGGCAGATTCTGTGAGTTCAAGGCCAGCCTGGTCTCCAGAGCAAGTGCCAGAGTAGGCTCCAAAGCTACACAGAGAAACACTGTCTCGAGAAAAAAAAAAAAAAAGCAAGACAGGGGTGTGGAGATGTCTCCGTGGGTATAGTGTCTGCCTTGCAAACATAGGCTCTGAGTTTGTATCCCAAGAATCCACTTAAAAGCTGGGCGCTGTGGTTCGGACCTGTAACTTCAACACTGAGTAAGCAGATACAAACAGATCCCTGAAGGCGGCCAGCTGGCCTAGCCAGACCAGTGAGCTGGTTCCGAGAGACCCGGTCTCAAAATAAAATAAAATAAAATAAAAAAGAAGGGGCCAGGAATGGAGGCACAGGTCTCAAATCCCAGCACTCCGGAGGTAGAGAAAGAGGAAGGCAGATCTCTGTAAGTTCAAGGCCAGCCTGGTCTACATAGAGTTCTAAGCTAGCTAGCGATACAAAGTGAGACCTTGACTCAAAAAAATAAAATAAGCCAGGCAGTGGTGGTGTATGCCTTTAGTTCTAACACTCAGAAGGCAGAGGCAGGGATCTTTGTGAGTTTGACGCTACCCTGATCTACAGAGAGAGTTCCAGGACAGTCAGGGATACCCAGAGAAACCCTGTCTTGAAAAAAACGAAATTAATTAATTAATTTAAAATAGATTGGTACTTATCAAGGAAGGGTATCCAATGTCAACTTCAGGACCACACACACACACACACACACACACACACACACACACACACATTGCACAGGGAAGCTAGCTGTGATGGTACATCATACCTGTGATCCCAGAATTTAGAAGACAGAGACAGAAGGATCTACATAAGTTCAATACCAGTCTTAACTAAATAGTGAATTTCTGGGCTATATAAGACTCTATCTCAAAAAAAGGAAACTAGTGAGCTAGGTCTGTCACTACATGATTTCTGTAATCAAATAATTCATAGATAAAAGTTACCATCTAAAATTTAAACTGGCAGGTTTCCAGATTGCTTTCCAGATTGAACAACCACCACAACTATCAACCCAGAGCACTCTCATCAGGGTGTGATGGTAGAAGCCTATAAACCCTGCACTCAGGGAACACTGAGGTGGAAGGATAGATAGTTCGAGGCCAGCCTGGAATGTTTACAGAGACCCTGTCTTGGAGAAATCCTTTGGTGGCTACTAACATACCGTTGTCTCTATAGATTTGCCTACCCTAGATGTTTTATGCAAATAGAATCATACAACATATAACCTGCTGTGTCTCGTTCCTTTACCTGACTTGTATGGTGTCTGTTTCTCCTTCACCTGGCTAAATAACACCATTATATGACTACACCACATTCTCGTGGTGTAGTGGGTGGGTGGTCCAACAGTCTAGTTTTCATTTCATGGATGTTGTGAACCATGGATGGACATCTGAGCACAAGATCTTACGTGGCCCTGTTTCCAAGTTTAGTCAATGGCTATGGGTAGAACTGCTGAGTCACGGTTAACTCTAGGTTTAACTTTCTCAGACACTCCCAGCAAGAAAGCACAGAGAATCTCAACTAAAACTAATAGGTTCAGAAATATAAGCTTAATACAGTGGTTCTCAACCTTCCTAATGCTTCAACCCTTTAATACAGTTCCTCATGTTGTGGTGACCCCCAACCATAAATTTATTTTTGTTGTTACTTCATAACTTTAATTTTGCTACTGTTATGAATCATAATGTAAATATTTATGTTTTCCAAGGTTTTAGGTGATCCAAAAGGGTTTTGACCCACAGGTTGAGAACCACTGGCTTAAAAGAAGTCTTAAGTTCAATTGGTGGAGCTCTTGCCCAGTGTGCACAACGTCCTGGGTTTGATTCCTAGCATCACATAAAACCAGATGATGCTCACTTGTAATTACAGGGAGAGGCAGGAGGATCAGAAGTTCAAGGCCACCCTTGGATACATAGTAAGTTTGAGGCTGCCAAAAGCTACATGAGACCCTGTCCCCCTGCCCATCCCGCACCCCTCAAAAAAAAAAAAAACAAAACAAAACTAATAGTACAGCAATTCCTAAGTAATTTCCCATTGTTCTAAAACACAAACACACATATACAGATGTGGTTCACACTTGAACTTGCCTAACAACCTTGTTTTCTCTGCCATGCAGCCTGATTCCAAGGTAAGAGACCTCCGGGAATCTACTGCAACACATTTCTGACATAGCTGTCGAGAGGTCAAACCTAAGGCAATACAGAACAGAAGCCCTGTCCACCCAGGCCAAAGTGAGCCCATCCTGCTGTCTTGCTCCACAAAAATCACAAATACACCACACAGCCATTTGAGTCATCCAGGCTTATACAAGAAAGATTTCGACACACAGAGTAGTCTTGTATCCACGGTGGCCAAGAAGGAGAAGGTTACTGAAGTGTGACTCAATGGGTTATGACGTCCCCTCTTCCACTGAGGAAGGGAGGTGATGGCTCCCCTCTTTGGACACCAGGGACCAGCTGGGAGTGGGCACTCTATGGCCAGCTGCTGAAGGACGTGCCCCCAAATGTACCCTTGAAAAACACCCAGTGCTAAAAAGGACTGGCTGAAAGGATGAAGAGACAGGGAAGTTCTAGGACAAGTGTGCTCACTTCGGTATCATAGATAGCCTGTACTCAAAGTCCACCCTAGTGACCTGCCCATCCCTGTCCGAGGCCAGCACTGTGCACCTTCATCTGCCATCAGTCAAGGCTCACTGACTTGATAGGCCCAGCTCTATCACTTACGGGCAAATGGTCCTGGAACAGCCTAGCACTGGCTGGGGGCCAGTGTCCTGGTGAATAGAAGGCAACCTGGATCGGTGCTGATGTTCACCCCCCTTGAGGAACTCCTCTAGGTGTGGCTGAGCACTTGGGGTGTGTGGGCAGCAGACTCAGGCTGATGCCAGCCTTGGAGCATAGGTGCTGAGTGGGGAGACCTGGAAGTCCCTTCCCAAACTGTCTACTCCTGTTCTCCACAGGAGACTGTCAGCTCCTAACACAGCTGAGCACCGCCCCCCCCCCGCCCGCTCCATGCGCCACCGCTTAAATTACAGGGTCAAAGAGATCTTAGGGTGCCAGGAGAGAGAGTGAGTGGATTCAGCCATGGCTGGTCTTGTTATGGCAGAACCCCGACTTCGAAGGGGGCGGGGTGAAGCCGGCTTCCAATGCACCCGAATTGATGATCGCTTGGGCAACCCCACTCACTTTCCCAGTGATCCCCCAAGGATCTCCTCGTTGCGCTCAGACACTGCAGTCCTTCGGTCTGAGACCCTTCCGGGGCCACGCCTGACACGCCTGTCCCACCGCCCCCTGAACGTCCTGCTCCAAACACGGCCCCAAGTTCCCGGAAAGACTTAACGGGGATTTAGGGGCGGGGAATCCCGGGGGATCCGGTCCTACGGGTAGGCGCTGGGTATCCTAGGCAACGGCCCCCTCCTCCCAAAGCCTTGGCCCCTGTCGTCCCTCACTGTCGCCCCATTGCACCCGGGAATAAGGGTCCAGGCGACCTCACCTGCCGCTGTCCGCGTTTCTTCCGGCGCCTGCTGAGGCCCTTGGCCGGGGCGTGCCCATCACTGTCCCCGGCCCGAGGCGCCGCCCCGAGCCCCGCCCCTCCCTGCTGCCCTGGCTCTGACCTTGACCGCCTACGAACCGCCTGCAACTTGGACACAATGTTGCCCACGTAGCCTCTCCGCCTGCCAGGACCCCGCGCCCCAGTTATGCCTGGGCTTCTGGGAAACACCTGTAGGTCCTATGGACCCCAGCACTAGCTGTGCCTTCTTCACGCATGTGCATACAGGCTGAGCGCCCGTTGTATCCCCAGCCCTGGGAGCTTTAAAATGCAGAGTGGTACAGGTGTATCTTTTGGTCAGGTAATGGCCTGGGGAAAGAAGGGGCTAAGCCCAAAAACTGAGGAGGTGGGATGTCGCTCAGTGGGTAGAATGCCCTGGGTTTCTTACCCAACACTACATTACAAAAGCAGAGGATAGTGGTGTGTGGCTGTAATCCTAGTACTTGGGAGGTGGAGACAGGAGGATTAGAAATTCAGGGTCATCCTTGGTTACTACAGCAAGTTTGAAGCCAGTTTGGGCTTCCTGAGATCCCATCTAAAAATGAAACCATTAAACCACCACCGCCACCACTACCAAAAACATCCCTTGTCACCTGCTGTGGTGAGGAAAACTTGAAGGTGGGAAAAGGTGTTAGACCTCTGTCCCATTCTAAAGTCAGCACTGGGCAGAGGAGGAGAGCGAGCGTGCATATAAAGTGAAGGGAGCCTGACAAAGCTATGAAAGCCAGAGCATTCTAGGCTACAGTCTCTAGGGAAAAGTAAAAAGATAGGCTATCTGTCTCCATGCAGATGTTGTCCCCTGCCCTAGGAGCAGCAGACAACTGTGACATCACTTACATGTCTGAGCTGGGTGTACTAGCTCATGCCTGTACTTTCGGTAGTAGTACATGCCTGTACTCGCAGCCACTGGGGAAGCTGAGACAGGAGGATCACAAGTTGACCATACACTGGGCTACAGCGTGAGAACCTGTCTCAAAACATATTTATTTGGGGGGGGGGGTTACTGGTTTTTTCCCTTTGAACACTTATTTTTATGAGAATTTCACACACATAAATACTATATTAACATCAATTCCATCCCTCCCTCCAACTCCCCCTAGGTCTCTCAACTCCCTCTCAAACTCATGATCTCTTCTGTAATTACTCCTGTTGCAAGCACAGAAAGCTAGAAGCCAAACCTAAGTCCATTTAATGTTGGTCTTATGAACATGTAACCAACCTGCTCTTATGAACATGTAACCACCAGGGAATGTGTAACATTAGCAGGGGGCTTTTCCCTAGAGAAGCCTGATTCATACTCTGTCTCCAGCCATTGATTAGCTCTCTCTCTACAGTCTCTAAAGTAAGAACCTATAGCTCTTTAGAGATGGGGCCTTGTGAAATCCTCCCTCCAACCCATCCACATTGCCATGTTGTTTGTGTGGTTGTTATACAGACCTTGTTTAAGCAACTTCATTGTTGAGATTTCATGTCTACAAGACACTATCACACAGCAAACATCTTGGTCCTCTGGCTCTTACAATAATCCCCTCCCTTCGTCCTCCATGTTCCCTGAGCCTTAGGTATGCAGGTTGTGTTGTCCATGTACCAGTTGGGGCCAGGAACCCCAAGGATGGTTTTTCTTCGACTTCTGACCAGTTGTGGATTCCTGGCTCCTTTCTCTGCTGCTTGCATGCAATGACATGGACTCTTCTATTCCACCTTGCCCTCCGCTCTGTGTTAGATGGATATACCTAAAACTGAGCCCAAATAGATCCCTTCTCACTTTGTTTATGCTAGGCATTCTGTCATAGTGATCAAAAAATTAACACAGCATGTCAGCCAGCTTTTCCCACCTCTAAGGACAGTCTCAAAGCATGAAAGCCAAGAAACTCTTTTACAATTTAAAACTTTTATTGCTGTTGTGTGTATGTGTGCATGATGCATAGGCACACGTGTAGGGGTCAGAGGTCAATTCTACAGCATTTGTTCTCTCCTTCCATCTTTGCATGGCTCCTAGGGGTTGGACTCAGGTCGCCAGGTTTTAGGGGCAAGAGCCTTTACTGCCTGAGCCATCTTGCCAACCTCTCAAAGGTTTTCTGGTGGTGGCCCAACAGCTTGTTGCCAAGAATACTTGATCCAGGACAGGGCCTCTGTAGTCCCTCCAGTGTTTGTCCCCAGGCTCTTCCATGTCACACCTCACTGCCTACCCAGCAGTGTCCAGAGCCTTTGAAATTGGAAATCAGGGTTCACCACTTGACAAAGGACCTCTTTGAACTTCTGGGTAGCTCAAGCAGCAGGAAGGATTGGTAGTCAGGATGCAGAAATATCCCATTCCAGAGAGAGATAAAAAAAAAAAACAGTGCAGAATAGTGAGAGAGAGAGAGAGAGAGAGAGAGAGAGAGAGAGAGAGAGAGTGTCAACACAGACAGGGTCTCACTGTAGTCCTAACTGGTCTGGACCTTGCCGTGTAAACTAGGCTGACCTTAAACTCACAGGGATCTCCTGCCTCTGCCTCCCAAATTCTGATCCTCCTACCTGCATCTATCTAGTGTTGGGACTGCAGGCATGGGCCTCCATCTTGGTACTGAGGATCAAACCCATGGATTCATGCACTTTAGGCAAGTATTCTACCAACTGAGCCACATTTGCAGCCCCCAGTCACTTTTTATTCATTTTTGTTAGTGTGTGTGTGTTTACATGTGTGTTACAAGTTCAACATACCAGGGCAAGTGATCCAACCCCAGGCCATACCCTCAGCCCTCCTCATTCACTTTTGACCCCCTAGGGCCTATTCTGGACCTCTGCACACGGAGGGCATTCTGCACACATCCACTGCCACACCAAGCCAGACCAGTACTTCCCAAGACCCTTTCCATGTCCCGGGTGGCTGGCAGACAAGGCACAGGGAGATGAAATCTGCTGGGAAGCAAAGTAAAGCAAAGGAGCGTGTTTCCTTGCCAGGTGCTGACCTGATCCCCACTGTGCTTTTAAGGAAAAGCAGCCAGTATACAAAATGAGGCCATTCAGACTGTTTATTCCCCAGCTCCCACAACACCTACCACCCACAAGACCCCAAGTCTCAGGCTCTGGGCTAGTAAATTAAGGCACTATGTCATAATGAAGGCAGGTGGCTTTGGGTTATTTGCCCGTATATCAATGTGGCAATGGGAAAACAGGCCTGTTAACGGCCAGAGGGACTCTGGACTTCCAAGCAGGGTCCTCTACCTTCTGAGTAGAGTATCAGGCAAGAGCCCTAGTTATAGCTACTTCAGGTGGCCATGGGAAGTCAGGGAGAAAGATTCTGAACTGGGGGATGGGGGGTGAGGCTCAGCTGCCCTTCCAGTAGATCTGCCCAATGGACGAGAATCCCTAGGAGGAACAATGACAATGCTGAGCCTAGATCTGGGAAACAGATGAGACAGGCTCAAGCACCCCAGATCAGAGACCCACAGAGCTGCATTCGTTCCTGGACAGTCCATGGGTGAAGAGATGGGCTGTGCCCTGGCATGTGACTGACATGTCAAAGTTGCCACATCAATGCACTTCTCAGTCATAAAGTGGTCCACCTTGTCCCAAAAGAGGGACAGTCTCAGAGCTTGCTTCGTGGGGCTTCAGGCAGGGGCCGCTGCAGCCGCCACACCACTTTGACTGGTTCAGTGGCAAGGTCCAGCTCTTGGAGGCCACACAGGTCACCAGTCTGACTATACTGCTTCAAGGCTGGTTGGAGCACCGTTATGGGAATGCTGAAGTTCAGGTGTGGGTAAGTGGCACCCGTGTTGTTGTCCCGAGTGTTGCTGGCAATGATGCCTGTTGGGGGGAGAACGATGAGGATATGAGGCAGTGGATGGGGTATCCACGGCACAGGGAGGACCTTCTCCTTGAAGAAACCTTGGGGACCTTCTGAGTTTGCCCCCGCCCCCCAGTGACATGTGCTGAGCTTCCTGCCATGGCTTCTGCTCCTTATACCTCACCTACCCCCAGCCATGCTCTCTTTTTCATACCATCCATATAAAACAGCCTAGCTCACTTCTTTGCTCATCTTTCTCTCCTGCCCCAAAGGGCAGGACTGAGTGTGCAGAGACCCCCAAAACAACTACCAAACGCACCAAAGGCCAAAGAGAGAGAGAGAGAGAGAGGGAGAGAGAGCCACACTCACATTGCCTGGCCTGCTTTGCTGACTACCTTTATGTCAACTAGACACAACTAGAGAAATTTTGGAAAAGTGAAATCTCAATTGAGAAAATGCCCCTATCACATTCCTGGAGTGAATATTCTTGACTGATGCAGAAAGGCCCAGCTCACTGTGGGTGGGGCATCCCCAGGCCAGTGATACGGGATGCTCTAAAAGATCAGGCTGACACTGGGCAGTGATGGATCACGCCTTTAATCCCAGTACTCGGGAGGCAGGGGCAGGTGGATCTGTGAGTTCAAGGCCAGCCTGGTCTACAGAACAAGTTCCCCAAAGCTACACAGAGAAACAGAGAGAGGAGGGAGGGAGAGAGGGAGGAAGAGAGAGAGGGAGGGGAGAGAGAGAGAGAGAGAGAGAGAGAGAGAGAGAGAGAGAGAGAGAGAAGACTGAGCAAGCCATGAAGGGCAAGACAGTAAGCAGCACTTCCCCCTGGCCTCTGCTGCATCAGCTCCTGCCTCCAGGGTCCTTCCATGTTTGAGTTCCTGTGCTGATTTCCTCCAGTGATGGGGCTGTGACGTGTAAGTGTCAGCAAGATAAGTCCTCCTCTCCCCATGTAGCTTTTGATCATGGTGTTTATCACAGCAACAGAAACTCTGAGCAAGAACCCTGCCTGGGATCTTTTTTTTAAAGAGCATTTTTAGGGTTAAAGAGACAGTTTGGTGGATAAAACATTTGTTACTCTTGTAGAGGACCCAGGTTTGAGTCCCAGCACCCATAATTGCAGTTCACAACATCTATAGTTTTTTTTGTTTTTTGATAAAGATTTTTTTTTATTTATGTATAGTGTTCTGCCTGCATGTATGCCTGCATACCAGAATTCATTATAGTTGGTTATGAGCTACCATGTGGTTGCTGGGAATTGAACTCAGGACTTTTGGGAGAGCAGCTAGTGCTCTTAGCCACTGAGCCATCTCTCCAGCCCCCTATCTGTAATTCTAGTCCCAAGAGATCTGAAAGCCTCTTCTGACCTTTATGGGCACCAGGCATGTTCATGGTACACATACATATATGTAGGGAAAAAAATCCATATTCATAGATAATAAAGTAAATGGAGAAATCAAAAAATATTTTTAAAAAATTTTTAAAAATTTAAAAATTTTAAATATTTAAAAGAAATCACTTTAAATTTACAGAAGGCTCAACCAAATACTGGTACTCCTGTGTATTGATATCTAAATATCTATACCATGCACCTGCCCTCCTCTACACTAATACCTTCTGTCATCAAAAAAGATAAATGTTACGACCAACCTGGCCTTGACCTCACTGACATCCTCCTACCTCTGCCTCCTGAGTTCTGAGATTAAAGCCATACACCACCACATCTAGCCTTCACTGGGTGTTTGTTTCTAACCCTCCTGCCTTCAGTGCTGTGATTTAGGTGTGCACTCAGCATCAACCAGACTCGTCATTAACTCTAGATCCAGAGGATCTTATGCTCTCTTCTGGCCTCCACATGATGCATGTACACACATGCAGTAAGGCATTCATACACATAAAATATTTTTTTCTTGTTATTTTGAAACAGGATTTCTCTGTGTAATCCTGATTGTATAGAACTTGCTCTGTAGATAAGACTGGCTTCAAACTCAGAGATCCTCCTGCCTCTGCCTGCCAAGCACTAGGATTAAAGGTGTGCGCCACCACCACATGGCTTATATTTAAAACAAAACAAAAAAGGGCTGGCTGTAATGGCTCATGCCTGTAACCCCAGCATTCAAAAGGCTAAGTCAGGGGGGCTGCTCTGAGTTCAAGACCTACCTTGGCTACACAGGGAGTTAAGGCCAGCTTGAGCTAAGAGTTAGACAGCTCTTGGAGAAAGAAAAAGAACCTGTCCACAAGTGCTGAGACACTTGCTAGAGTTGTGGCTCACAAGGAGGTAGATTTACAATTCTAACTGTACACTAGAGCCTAAAATAAGTGCCCACACACCGACTGCCAAGAGTAAGGCTCATCACTGTACGAGACAAGAGTCAGAATAAGAGAAGGTAGAAACAACAGCGGCCAGCACAAGCCAAGCAATGCTGCACACACAACCTGGGAGGCGTCATCTGGGGGCTGTTTGCTGTGCTAGCAAAACAGACTGCAGTTTGGTGGTTTTGTTCCTTCACAGGTTTGTTTGGTGCCATAGATCAATTGCTCAACCAAATCTGTCTTTAAAAATCCTGAATTCATCACCAAATCTTAAAAAGCGGGGGTGTACGCCTGTAGTCCCAGTAGTTAGGAGGTAGAAGCAAGAGAATTAGGAGTTCAAGGTCACCCTTGGCTATATATTGTGCTCGAGGCCAGCCCAGGCAACATGAGACTCTTGTCTCAAAGCAAAACAAGGACTGGACAACCACATACACAGTAAAAAAAGGTTCCCTCTTCTTGAGACATCCTGGGTCATCACTCAGCTTTGAAGTCACAGTCTGTTGAATTAAGCAGTGTCTGCCCACTGTCCCCTGCCTTGCCCTCCACCCATGCTCTCATTCACTACTTCACCAGCCCAGCTCTATAGACTTTTGAGGTTTGTGACTCCCAAACTAAACCAACTCCTAAATTTCACAGACTAAATGGGATTTAGTTACTTACCTAAGGTCACAGCAGTGGCCAGAACCAGGAGAGGGTCACAGGCCTAACTAGCTCTCCCGACTCTCAGCTCAGAGGCAGATTAGCTGAAAACTTTATCTAACTAACTCGAGGGACACGGTCCACCATTATCCCAGAAGGGCCTCCCAAGATGGAAGTGGGGTATCACTGGCAGGATCGAGGCTCTGGCAACAAGGAGATTGGGAGTGAAAGGAACTAGTTACCCAAGAGGTCCCCTGAACGTGTGGAGAAGAGGGGTCCTCCGCTGGAGCCACCATGCACGGCACACGTGGTCTGTAACATCACCGGGGTGTCATCCACATGTACCACAGCTGATAGGATGCCTGAGGTCACCGAGGGTCCGCAGGCCTGACCAAAAACACCAAAGCCCACCACACTGACAGGCTCGCCTGCCAGAAAGAGAAGGAGAGAAGAATGGGTACATCCATTCCTGGCACTCCCTTCCCACTCTCTCCAAAGGTCCTCTCCCCTTGGAATTCCTGCTCATCCCCTCTTATACACTTGGCACCTTCCCCAGGAACCCTGCAGGGAGATGCAGAAGTCTCTGTGTTCCCAGTTGCATGTGTCCGACCACTATTCTGGAGCACCAGGCATGTCTCCAGTCCTAACTCCCTTACTCAACGGGGCAGTCACTTTTGAGGCTGTTGTCACCTAGCTCATATGGGTAATTAACATCCATCTTTCTCTCGGTGAAGACATGGTGATGGTGGCCATAAGGTAGCCCCACCTTCTTCTCCAAGTGCTGTGAAGGAACAGGGACATCTCACCCAGTTCTCACCATGCCAGGAGCAGCAGCCGCCCCATCTTACAAAGGTGCAAACTGAGACAGGGGGCAGTTAAATAAGTATCTAAGGACACCAGTGGCAGAGGAGAGCTGCTAACCCAGAGGGCCTCTTTGTCACCACATGAAATGGAGTATTTGGGGCTAGAGGTGTAACTCAGTTAGTAGTGTCCTTGCCCAACACGCACAAAGCCTGGTGTGGATTCCACAGGACCCCATAAGCAGGGTATAACAGCACACACTTTTTTGTTTGTGTTTTGTTTTTCTGTTTTTTTGAGACAGGGTTTCTCTGTAGCTTTGGAGGCTGTCTTGGAACTCCCTCAGTAGACCAGGCTGGCCTCGAACTCACAGACATCCACCTATCTCTGCCTCCCGAGTGCAGGAATTAAAAGCCACCACCACCCGGTGATAGCAAACACTTGTAATCCTGGCCCTGAGGAGAAAGGGGCAGGCGGTCCAGAAGTTTATAGTCATCCTTAGCCATACGGGGTGTTTGCTGCCAGCTGCGTTACCTAAGGTCCTGTCTCAAAATACACAAAATAAAAGAAGACATACATCTATACTTATGTAGTAGGATCAGATTTTCACCCAAATCATGCCACTGGAGCTCCCACGACCCAGCACCCCACTGTCACACTGCTGCAGGCCCTCAACAGGGTATCCACGTGGCTCAGCACCTGGGGTGTCTTAACACATAAGGACATCAATAGATGATGTTCTAGAGTAAGAACCCAAAAACTCCACCGAAGTTGCCAACTCCTTTGCTCAGCAGGAATGGGAAAAGGAACTGGCTATCAGGTCTAGCATGGTTAGCGTCAACACTGACCCCCACCTGGGGTCCAGCCTGGTCCCCCATCACATTGGACACCCTTCATCCTTTACCTTCATGGAAGTGCTCAGCGGGGACAGGCATGGGAACACCATTCAGGTCCTCTTCCAGGCTCACCACTGCTATGTCATATGGAGAGGTCTCCTGAGTGGCGAACACCACTCGACCCCAGATTGCCACATTCCTGGGGACACAGGAAACAAGTGACAAGCTAGCCTTCTGATTACAGCACTGGGGAGAGAGCAATATGAGAGACAATAGAAGTCATGGGATGGGCTGGTTTTAGTGGCACACACCTTTAATCTTAGCATTTGGGAGGCAGGCGGATTTCCATTGAGTTCCAGGCCAGCCAGGACTACATAATGGGATTCTATCTTTAGAAGAAAAAAAAAAAAAAAAGTTATGGATTGAAGTCATAACATATTGATGTAGATGGCAGCCCTGAAACCTTAACCAGATATGCTTTACAAACTGTAGTGTACTTCTATACACTGCTTATGCCATGAGTGCTGTGTGTGACCAGGCCTTGTTGATGCTTCTGGATATCCTCACCTAGTCTTGTTAAGCCTACAAATGAGGCACTGGTATTATCCTCTTTAGATGGTGCAACTGAGGCTCAGAGAGGATGAGCAACCTTCCAAAAGGTCACAGAGCAAATAAGGAGCCAACTGATGGTCAGGAATCAGGGGCAGGGGTGGCCCCCCCCCTTTTTTTTTTTTGAGACAAGGTCTCTACATAGCTGTAGCTGTCCTGGAATTCACTGGGAAGACCAGACACAGAGGTACCTTATTTCTGCCGACCCTGCTGATTCCAGAAAACCTAGTGAGTTCCTTAAGATCAGCAGTCAAGAGGAGAGCTAAAGAGGAATCGGGCAGGGTACACAACAGGCAATCCGCATTTTCACTAGGAAATCACAGCTGTTGGGTTTGCTGCCTGTGGGGACTCTGGCAAAGCTGCTCAGCATGCAGGAGTTCAGAAAGGTCTGGACTGTTAGTCAAGGGTCAGGCTTGAAGCCAAGGTGCTACTTTGTCCTCAGTTATGCACCTGGGGCTACAGAGGAAACAGAACTATAGCACACAATGCCTGGATGCCAAGGCCACTGGCTCACTGCCAGAGCAAGAAAAGGAGGGTAAAGGTGTTTCTCTCTACAGAGGGAGTAAGGTGACTGTATAAAGTCCCTGTCTAGCTGCACTCTGGGGTCACTCAGACGTTCAGAACACAGCCATCTGCATGGCCCAAGCCTGATATTTTAATTAGGAAACCCTCATCTTCAGGTGCCAGGGCAGCCCTAATGAGGCATTAAGGGAGCCCTGGGTAAGGCCATCTCAACCCTTAAAGGGTTGAAGTCCTTAGGGTACGTGTTCTCTGGTCAAAAGGCTTTAATGGGGCCTAACTGCAAAGCTAAGAGGCAGAGGAGCTGCCCAAAGGGTTTCAGGCTAGTTCAGTGGCTCAAAGCCATGTAGTCCCACCTGCCTATGTAGTCCCCTGGGTCCCCATGCTAAGAGCTGCTTGTGCCTAGCAGTTTGCTCAAGTTCCATTGGGGCCCACTAGGAGTCCCAGATCCCCTCACTGGGGTTCTGCTTGTCAAAAATCTTAAGTCCGTCTCTACAGGACTTAAGATTGTCCCACATGGCCTCCTCACTGATACCTGGTGAGGGGAGGCAGCCCGGGGCCTTACTTGGGGGTGG